AACAAAAGTTTACGCCGGACGGACGGACGACGCCATACCATAATACTCCCGTCAAATGACGGGCGTATAAAAATGATACTGATTATCCTTTGGAAATTAATGGTGCATTGAAATGCATCCTGTAGATAAGGCGGGATCATTTAACTGTTTATTCACATCTATTTCTACATCAGATAAAACTATTGAAGTCATCCCTCCAAATCCTCCTCCTTTCCCTTGTCAACTATCTAATATCAATATTACATGTGCTGAGCAAGATGTTTATGACCAACTTCAACTCATTAATCCAAAAAAAGCCTGCAGGTCCTGATGCGATTCACCCTCGGTTTATCGAAGGTGTATCTGAATCTCTTGTAAAGCCATTTCATATTCTTTTTAATAAATCAGTGGAATCCGGTCAATTACCTAAAGTCTGGGGAAATGCCAATGTCACAGCTGTATACAAGGGCAAAGGTGAGAGAAGTGACCTATCAAACTACAGACCTATTTCTATTACTCCTCTGTTTAGTAAAATGCTTGAAACAGTTATGTTCAAATATTTGTTTAATTATCTTTGAAGAAATCATATAATTTCTAAGAACCAATCTGGATTCCTCCCCAAAGATTCTACAGTTAACCAGCTATTAGCAATATATGATTCAATTCTCAAGCAACTTGATAGAAGAAAAGACGTCAGAATTGTGTTTTTTGATATTAGTAAAGCCTTTGATAGGGTCTGACATGATGGACTTGTGTACAAATTGAAAAAATATTGCATTGAAGACAATTTTCTTAATTGGCTTTCTAATTATTTAACTCATAGACAGCAAAGAGTAATAAATGATGGGTACAAGTCTTCTTGGCGTACACTTACAGCAGGTGTCGCACAGGGCTCGGTCTTCGGCCCATATTTATTTCTTATATATATATATAAATGACCTAGAAAATGAAATTGAGTCAAACGTGAAATTTTTTGAAGATGATACCTCACTATTTGTACTTATAGAAAATGATAACAATACTGCTGCTGAAATTTTAAACAATGATCTCTATAGAATATCTATCTGGGCTCATAGATGGGTATATTATTTAATCCTAGTAAAACAGAAGCTCTTCTTATATCAAATAAACTAAATGCAGATGAAATGCATCCTGATTTCACATTTCTTAACAATTCTATGGTAAATGTCAAAAAACATAAACAGCTGGTGGGCTTTTTAACAGCCATGGTTTGTGGTCTGATCGCATCAATTTCATATATATAATAATACATGCAATTATATGCATGTATTTAGGTACCACAAACTTGATAGGAAATCTCTAGAGATGATATACAAGTCATATATTCGTCCAAATCTTGAGTATGCTAGTGTTGTATGGAATAACTGTAAGCAAATTGAATCGGATCTTCTCGAACATATCCAGCTAGATGCTGCTAGAACAGTAACTGGTCTCCGAAGAGGTACTAGTAATAAAATCAACTATAATGAAATTGGATGGGATACTCTTAAGAAACGTCGAAAGGATCAGCAACATATAGTGGTTTTTTTAAATAATTAACCTTGTAAGTCAAAATTATCTTTTTGAAATTCTTGAAACTTACATAGTCAGCAATGAAGCTATGACCGATCATGTCCGACAGCAACGTATATTTGAACCACCAATTTGTAGATTCGATACATATTTTAACAGTTTCTTTACTTTCCTAGAATGTCTTGGTGGAATAGACCTGAATGTAATTATTATAATTTGAGATCTATTAGTGAACTAAAAAAACAACTTGTATGTATGTATGTATGTATGTATGTATGTATGTATGTGTGTGTGTGTGTGTGTGTGTGTGTGTATGTGTGTGTGTATGTGTGTGTGTGTGTGTGTGTGTGTATGTATGTATGTATGTATGTATGTATGTATGTTTGTGTATGTATGTATGTACATGTATGTATGTATGGTGTCTCATATCTTCATTGATACCGATATAATTCTTATGTTCCTAACCATGTTTGTAAATATTCATAGTTCATTATATTGCTATTGTTTGAGATGTACCTCCAGGGAGAGGGCTTGTATAGGCTTTGCATGTTGCCCAAATCTGTTCATATATATGATATATCAGACAGATTGCACAAGTAGAGCCACCCGGGGGCTCACTCCAGTGGAGGGACGCTGCTGGAGACAAGATATTAATATTTCTTTATTTCTTCCAATTTGAAGAGTTGCAAGAACATATATATTGTGAGTATATAGATTTTATTTTCGCCAGAGGCTCGCTTAATTGAAAAATTCTTAGACTCGTTTCATAAATCTAATATGAAATGAAAACGAGTGTAAGATCCTTTGTATCGCATAATCAAGGTTTGTGGCATTTATTCGTCTAAAACGTCAATTTTCATGCAACCTTGATATGTAAAAAAGCTGCCATTTTTAATCCAGTGCGTAAGTCTATGACGACATGTACTTGTCCTAAGCGTGACGTCACAATTGAAACAATTGAAAACTTACAACCAATCACAGGGCTGATAGGTCATATACGCAAAAAGTATGACTAATAGAATCTTTCACCCCTTGGGGGGTGAGATAGGAGAATCTCAACCCGAGGGGGAGGATTCTTAAGTTGCCAAACACGAGGCTTTGCCGAGTGTTTGGTAACTAAAGAATCTTTCCCCGAGGGTTGATATTCCACTATCTCACCCTCAAGGGGGTGAATGATTCTTTTTCTCTTGCCCTGTTCTTTCATTGTGTATCATATGCACAATGTAATGATAACGTTACAAGCTAAATTCAGGGTTGACGTGACGTTGATGGATTGTTGACGTGACGTCATTGTATTGTTAAAGTGAGGTCATGCCATTGTTAGGTATAGGGGAATCCCCCCGTCTCAACCCTAGGGCGAGACAAGGAAATCTCACACCGGTAAAAATGCGGATACACCTGTCCAGGGTAAGAGAATAATAGAATCATTCACCCCTTTGGGGTGAGATAGGGGAATCTCAACCCGAGGGGGAAGATTCTTATGTTGCCAAACACGAGGCTTTGCCGAGTATTTGGCAACTTAAGAATCTTTCCCCGAGGGTTGAGATTCCCCTATCTTACCCACAAGGGGGTACATGATTCTTTTTCTCTTACATGTGCCCTGTTTTCCCCAATGTGTATCATATACACAATGTAATGATAACGTTACATGCTAAATTCAGGGTTGGCGTGACGTTGATGGATTGTTGACGTGTCGTCATTGTATTGTTGCAGTGACGTCATACCATTGTTATAAATAGGGGAATCCCCCTGTCTTAACCCTAGGGCGGAGACAAATAAATCTAGCACCGGCAAAACGGGAGATAAATCTGTCAGGTGTGGGAGAAATGGGTATATTCACTGGATAACACAGAACATTATGTGGTAAATGGTCAATTCATAATTAAATATACTTATGTACAAAAATGACATGAAATATAAATTATTAAGACATTGTTCGTCTGTGATAAAATGTTAGCACATTCTAAATAGGGTAATTAATTCTCAGAATAACATACATTTCATTAAAATGTTATCAATGGTACAATTTAATAATTTTATCAACAGAAATAGCACAAATCAATACAAAGTTTTCATAATAATTCACATAACTTGTAATGGAGGATATATACCTCCAAGTAGTATGTGAATTAAATAGTAGTCTGATAAGGAGTGCAAGTAAACAAGTAGTTTTATATCAAACTTAGTACTTATAAGGCACTAAAGATCGTCTCTGAGTTTCCCAGTTTTTGTCAGTGAAGGACAATGTGTGTAGTAATGTCAGTGTGTAAAATACCACAAAAATGACACAACTCAATTACATTTGTGATTCTTATTTCTACGCCCATCCTTACTACATAAAATATCCTATCAAAGTGCTCAGGGACCTTCAAAGCTAATTTCCATAAAGTTTGTGGACAAAATGTATTGAATAAGCAAACATCTTGTAAAATCATTATTGCTAATCCATCTTTTATACATCATCAGTTCTTCCTGGTTGTACACTGCTTTATACACAAATTAATTTCACACTGATTTGCTTAGTAAAAACAGCGTCTGAAACATACTTTAGTACATAATCAAATTAATCATATTTGCGAAGTATTCTCACAATATCAGAAATAAAACCACCTTGACAATAATCATTCAAACGATACATAAAATAATAAAAAGACGTTTCAGAAATACTGATTTGGTTAAGTATTTTTCTACTCATCCCACAAAGTCGACCAAGGAACAAGTTTTTTTTTTATATCAATGTACGATTCGATTGATGTCCATCCAATTAGTGAGTTAGCCATATCGGTTCTAGACCTAGTACTGAAAGCTTGAACAGATTTCATGATAAAAAATTTGAGCACGTTCTAGTTTAATTAATTCTGTTTTAGATAGTTTCCATAATTCACATCCATATAAAGCAGACGAGAAAACCTTTGTCTTAATTATTCGGCTACAGTAAATGAGCGAAAAGTTCAAGGGTGAGTACCAGACCTTATAAGAGCCATTGTACCTCTTTTTCATTTTCTACCAGCTGTCTCTGTTCTATCTGATGAACAAAATTTATAATTTAACATAACACCAACATGAGTAATATGTTCAACAACTGATAAAGATTTTCCATTTAAATACACATCTTGTTGCAACGCTTGTGTTCTGCCCTTGGTAAAGACAACAATTTTAATTTTGTTAACAAAAAATGAGAATCTCCACTTGAAAGCTATAACTAACGCAAACTTTTACCAAGTCTTGTAAACCGACACTAGTATTGCTCATGTGCCTGACGATTCTACTTCATTTAATAAATCGTTGATAAAAACCAATGGTGTATGCTTGATCATACAAGCATACATGTATGCTATGCCACTGCAATTTAAAACGCGCCAGTAGAAGCTATATATAATCAGGGACGTATAATACTGTCCCTGATATAATATAAGGCTTACCGTACAGTCCGTTTCCGGAGGAAAAGTAATGGTGCTCTTTTCAAATTACATTTTACCCGGAAGTACGTCCAACGTCAAAGAGTTCTCAATGGCAGACAACAGGTAATTTTTGACGTTTATGTTTCTCATTGTACGATTTTAGCATTGTTGCTTAATATAAACATAATCTCATAAAAATAATATAATAACAACAAAAAGATAGAACTTACAGCTGATCTCGCTGGAAAACAGACGTTTTCCTTCACAAACGTTATACATATCGAGCCTACCGCGGATCGCCTATCGAGTATCGGTCTGCAAAATTCTGACGACCTAAACCTGTCGATTTCATGTAGTCCAGTCATTCTCTTTAAAACAAAACCAACTAGTCCTTCGAGCCTCACTTTCAGATTAACGATAGATCATCATTATTCTTCAAACTTATACTTGTCATCATTGGGTTTATATTCTAAAATTTCTGCTATCGAAATTGGTGATTTTATATAAAAAATCCACATGAAAAAAATAAAAAAAAAATGCTTTATTTCCCAAAATTATGGAAAAAAATAGGAATATCATCCCAACTTTAGTAAAAATAAACTATATTTTCCCAATTCATGTAGAAATAGCTATTATAAAAGGGAGACCATAACCCACAAAAGTACATTGTACAGGTTGGTCACAATGGTGCATATGGGTAATAATCCTGCATTTGGGTAACATCTTTGTATGTTATGGTTGAATGCACTTCGAATCTACTTTCACTATCTTATATAAAAAAAATCAAAATTTTGTACTTCACTATCTTTATTAAAAATCGCTATTTGTATTGTTATTATAAACAACTTTTGGTTGAATGTTTTTTCGTGTTTTGACATTTTCGTTGTTTTAGAAGTCCCGACTTTTCTAAGGCTTCAAAGGTCATGAAATACTTTCAAAACCGAAAACTGTCCAACCAAAAGATGTTTGTAATAACCAATAGATATGGCGATTTTCAATAACGTAGGTGAAGTACAAAATTTTGATTTTTTATATAGGATAGTGAAAGTAGATATATATAATAATAATAAAATAATCTTTATTTAACGTCGTGTACAATTGTCAACAACAAACATAAGCTCTGTAGAGCTTTTATTACGACGCCGCTAAGGGAACAAATGGTGTTTTTCGTGGTGGAGGAAAACCCACGGGGGAAAACCACCGTGCCATCGGAGGGATAACAACTAACCCTATCAGACATCACTCTCTTTTTTCCACCACCGCTGGGGATCGAACCGAAATTCTTAGGAGAGCAAGTGGTCTGGAGCTCACGCTTGATAGCACACAGTAGTACAATGACTGTGCGCGTTAGCGATCGCGGCTACCGAGGCACCCGATTCGAAGCGCATTCAACCATAACATACAAAGATGTTACCCAAATGCAGGATTATTACCCATATGCGCCGTTGTGCCCAACCTGTTGTGGACACCTACTCTACAGCCAATCCATATACAACATAGTAGCATCCCGAACTTCAAAGAGGTGTTGCAAAGATTTACTGTTCGGAGAATAGCTATGATAGCTCTTTTATCAAGATACTTGGATAACTTGTAAGAGGTATATCATCTTCCGAGCGTCAGAAGCACGACTTAGTATAATGTATACTGGTAGTAGTCACCAGCAATCAAATAACTCAAAATCTGCTACTTTTTCTGTAGACTGAAATATTGTCTTGTAATAAAATCATAATTTAATCGCTTAACCTGATTCAGTCGTATAGCCACAGCCAATGTAATGTGAAGCAGGTTGTCAAGCATCATGTAATATGGATATACATCAGAATTGACTTTTTTATGACATCTATAAATAGTTCATAGGATTAACATGCAACATAAATTATGTGAATAATCTAATAATTTTGTGAATCTGTAGTGTATTATTGAAGTTATATATAATTAATTCTAATAATTTGCCATTGAATATACATGTTTGTGTATGATTTCAATACTAATATGTATCGTACACACCCATAACATGTACAAATGGACTGAAGTGTAACTACGGCAATTGACCCATTTTTTGATGCATGATTACTTTGATAAATCAAGGTGTTCCATTTTTGTATTTTTACTTTTTTCAGAAATATCCGTTACCCAGGGCAACCTCCAGGTGAGATTTTCAAATATAACAGTAATACAGGTTTACGTTCCTAAATGTCAAAATGTTTTATGCATATAATATATCAATAAAAATTGTAATTTCTTTTATAAGTAAAATCTTATACATATATCAAGAGATCAAATTTGTATTTGTTTTTATCAGAGTTAATGATGCTTGAGTTATATATGAAAACTAATACCTTTAATTTACTCAAAATATAGAGGCCTGTGTACAGTATTTGAGTTTACATGTACAGTTATTTTTTCAAATATCAAGGATACTAAACCTCACCAGAGATCCAACCTTTGGCAGCATCACATTTATTGAGATGCCTTTTTTTCAGGAAACTTTGGCATGATGCCAAACCCTGGGATGCCCCAGTTTCAGCAACCAGGTACAGGTATACAGATGATGCCAATGATGCATACAGGAATGATGATGCCTCCTGGTAATCGTATGATGGCACCGCAGCAAATGATGTTCCCAGTGCAGGTAATTTCAAAATCAAAATTGCGAGATTTTCTAATCAGTGCAATCTACGTCCTCTCTGAACTGGCCCCATCTATGTCTATACTACTCTTTCTGACTTTAATATTTCATTATAAGGTATGTTGTAAATAAATAAATGTTAAAACTGGCAAACTTTCTCTTCATTCGATTTAGACGTGCTATACTGTATAAATACAGTACTATCGTTCATTCCACAAAATCAAATTCTTGCACTTATTGAAGATGAATCATCTGAAACTCAAGTGTGAAAATATTTCACAAGTTTCATCATATTTCTATGTTACTTGCAGCAAATGGCTATGAGACCTCCTGATGGTCCCCGTATCGCCCCTCCCGCTTACACACAGAAAATGGCTGACAGCTTTAAGCACCGGTAAGTAGTATTTTAGAATCAAATATTAAAATCATTTAACATAATAGAGAATGAAAATGGCAAACAATTACATATGTAAATGTTCAGCTGAAAATATTCCACTGGACCAGATGATACTGAACATTATCAAGTATAGCAGTACTATATATATAAAGTAATTTTCAACATGTAGTTCTGCATATTTTGCTTGACTTTCTCCAAAAGCATATGAAGACAACTCATATTTAAAATGTCAACAATATATATGATACATGTTTGCCAAATCTAATCAAGGCATTTAAAAAAAATAAATGAAATCCTGAAGTAGACAGTTAAGTTCTTGAATTAACCCCAAGACAGTTAAAAAGGTATTTCATTGGTAATGAATCTCAGAAACATAAAAAATGTAATTAATCCGTGAATGACAAAACTTATAGATACTGTTGATATATGCTTCTTCAGTAGGGAGACATGTAAAACTCATTCTGTTGGAAGAAGGTTTTTTCCTCTACATATGGAGAATAATCAATATGTAATCAGACATGTTACACTACAGTATACATCAGTACTTTTCTGCAATAGGATGTTGCTTGGCAGCTGTAGCTTTACGAGCCCACCATCATCAGATGGTGGGCTATTCAAATCACCCTGCATCCGTCCGTCATTCCGTCCTTAAACTATTCTTGTTAGTGCTACATGTATTTCTCAGAAAGTGCTAGAGGATTTTTTCTCAAATCTTACATGAAGGTTCCCCAGGATCCCAAGTTATGTATATTGTATTTTGGGACTGATTGCAAGACCAAGATGGCTGACAGTCAGTAATCTTGAAATTGAGAATGAAAGTTTGTTAGCGCTATTTCTCATAAAGTATGGGAGTGATATTTCTCAGATTTCACTTATAGGTTCCTTATCGTCCTTATTGTCGTTTTTTGGGACTGATTACAAAACCAAGATGGTGGACAGGCACCCATCTTGAATTTGAGAGTTAAAGTTTGTTCCACGCAGACGGCCAGAGTTTGATTCTCGAAGTCGTCGTACACATGGAATATCAGAGAAAGTGTTTTTCTTCTGCCCACACAACTCCAACAACCCAGGTGGAGTATACAATGGTCTGGGGTGGATGTTGCAGTATCTGTGCTGTAGCATTCAAGTGAGGTGGCACTATAAATGATACATTTGGAAGCACTGTCCCACTACAAAACAGAACACAATACATCTCCAGCACACACGTAGGCATACACACATAGGGAGATATTAGCCAGGTGGCATAGGACTAGTAGTTAGTGCCTGATAAGGCAGCTCCTGCGAATTCCTCAAAATTGAAATAATTAATGTATATGCTAATTGTATTAATTTTATATCTATGTACTGTAAAGCGCTTTAGAGTGGCTTATGTTAGCTAAATAGGGCGCTATATAAAATGTTGTATATTATTACCTCAGAAAGTACTGGAGGGATCTTTCTCAAATTTTGCATGAAGGTTCCCCATGATCACTAGTTATGCATATCGTTTTTTTGTTCTGATCACAAAACCAAATTGGACGACAGGCAGCCATCTTGCATTTGAAAGTTAGTTTGGTAGCACTGTTTTCAGAAAGTTCTGGAGGGGTCTTGCTCAAAATTGACACAAAAGTTCCTCATCACCCCTAGTTATGCAAATTAAATTTTGGGACAGAAGGGTAAACCAAGATGGCTGACAGACTTCATCTTGAATTTGAGCATTAAAATTTGTTAGTGTTATTTCTCAGAATGTTCAGGAGTTTTTTTCTCAAATTTTACATAAAGGTTCCCCATAGTTCCCCACTCTGCATTTCAAATTTCGTGGATGATTGGAAAACCAAGATTGCTGGCAAGTGGCCGTATTGAATTTGGGAGTAAAAGTTTTTTAGTCCAAAGACTTGAAGGGATCTTTCTCAAATTTCACAAGGGTTTTTCCTGTTCTGAGTTAAGCATATCAAATATCATATCGGCCGGCCATCTTGTTACAGTTTAAGTTTGTTATCACTATTTCTCAGAATTAACTGGAGGAATTTTTTTCAAATTTGATATGTAGGTTCCCCTTCACTCAGTGGTCCTGAGTTGTGCTTGTTAACTTTTGAGGTTGCTCAAAAGATTGATTAAGTTGGCAGATAGGCAAACTGATCAAACGGATAATTGAAATGAAGATGGTACTATGATGGGCGCCAAGATCCCTCTGGGAACTCTTGTTTCTTATAGCCAAGGAACAGTATATTGAGGACAGGTCATATAATAATTACCTTTCAAAATGCTATGGATCAGTTGACATAACTGGATAAGTGATTTATATATAATAGTTTGTGGTGGGTATTTTTTGAACTTTTTAGTAGGTGTCAAAACTGTCAATTCCATTCTTCTGCTTAATAAATGTTAATCGTTTTAGCAGACATACTGAAATAAAATTATTAATGTATGAAAATACAAGTAACTGATGTAAGGTTCAAATGTTTTGCATTACACTATGTGGAACGAGTACTTTTTCAACATGCTTTAATCTCAGAGGTCAAAATATATCAGTATTAATAAGAAGAATTTAACCTTACTTGTCAGTGAGTGCCTGATATTGCAACTTTTTATAGGGCACCTAGCCACCAAGCACCAGGCCAGACAAACAGACCTGTCACAATGTCTGCAGAACAACTGCGGCAACTAGAGGAGAAACAACGGAAGGAAAAACAGTTCCTAGCTCAAAAACAAAAACTACAAGCATTTGGTCGCCCAGTTCCAGTGGATGCAGATAAGTTCTCTAAGGGACTTATGGAGTCCATGTTTGGTAAAGTGGACAGGCCTAAACCCAAAAAGGAACTTCCTTCAAAAAAAGAAGGTGAGGAATAACTATGAGGTTGTATGGGCTCCATTTTACTGTTAATACCACAGTTCCATAGATTACAATACTATCAGTATTAAAAAAAACACTGTCCTCTAAATTTAGGTATATATAAATCCGACCTATTTTAGGATACAAGCAAAATACAGTACATTTGACAAGAAAGTGGTTTGCAGAATACAGAGTTTTATTTTTAGTTTTTAATTATTATGAAAATAGGAATTTTTATAATTTTAACTTTAACAAGTGATAAAGCAAATGAAGCTAGCTTATACGTGGTCGTAATGAATGAACTGTAAGTATTACTGACAAGCTTCATTAATTTATAATACGTAATCAATGAATTGTAATTATTACTAGCACGCTTCGTTAATTTATAATACGTGATCAACGAATTGTAATTATTACTAACAAGCTTCATTAATTTATAATGACAAAGATACCTTAAAGACAATTTTTAATTCATTTTTTGCGCGTCAGATTCCTTATTTTATCTTATATTGATAATTTAAATTCCACAAACATGTGGTTGTATGTGTCAATTTGAGGTTAGATGATTAGAAAAGGATTGAAGGTTTAACTTTGGTTTCTCTTAAGTCCCATATATTGATGCATGTTGTTCAAAACATTTTATAAGTAAGATAAATAATCTATTAGAATCGGTATCATTATAGGTTTTGCAGAGCAAGAAGATGACGGTTTTGGAGATTTCATGGCTGGTCCATGTACTACTGTGTCAGCTCCTATAGAAAACATGGCAGCCCCAGAGACGCAGAGCCTACCACAGTCTTTACCCGAACCACCAAGTGGTGAAAATCCAGCTATCAGTCAAAGCAAGGAGGAGAAAAAAGGTAGGTAGACTTATTCAAAAATCTACGTTAAATGAGTGCCTTGATGATTCCATTAATATTGAGTTCTGTCCCTTGATTTACTTAGCCATGTCTTGAATATCAACACAATTTTTCGAAAGTTTTACTTATGTCATTATGAACCTATACATATATTACAGTCATGTTGCTGCATTTTCCTTTAAAAGATCCGTATCCCACTGCTCTGTGGTTTTTAGCTCACCTGCCAGAATGGCAAGTGAGCTTATGCCATGGTGCGGTGTCCGTCCGTCTGTCCGGCGTCAACTGTTTACTTCAAACAACTTCTTCTCAGTAACCAAAACGGCCAGGGTACTTATATTGGGCCTGTAGCATGCTAGGATAAAGGGCTACCAAGTTTGTTCAAATGCATGACCTTGACCCACTTTAAATGTCACTGGGGTCAGATGTCTTAAAATCTTCAAACAACTTCTTCTCAATAACCAAAAGGCCCAGGGTACTGATATTGGCCCTGTAGCATGCTGGGATGAAGGGCTACCAAGTTTGTAAAAATGAATGATCTTGACCAATTTTCAAGGTCACAGGGGTCAAATGTCTTAAAATCTTCAAACAACTTCTTCTCAATAACCAAAAGGCCCAGGGTACTGATATTGGACCTGTAGCATGCTGGGATGAAGGGTTACCAAGTTTGTTAAAATGTATGACCTTGACCAACTTTCAAGGTCAAAGGGGTCAAATTTCTTAAAATCTTCAAACAACTTCTTCTCAATAACCAAAAGACCCAGGGTACTGATATTGGACCTGTAGCATGCTGTGATGTAGGACTACCAAGTTTGTTCAAATGAATGACCTTGACCAACTTCTAAGGTCAAAGGGGTCAAATGTCGTAAAATCTTCAAACGACTTCTTCTCAATAACCAAAATGCTCAGGGTACTGATATTTAGCCTGTAGCATGCTGGGATGAAGGGCTACCAAGTTTGTTAAAATGAATGACCTTGACCAATTTTCAAGGTCACAGGGGTCAAATGTTTTAAAATCTTCAAACAACTTCTCAATAACCAAAAGGCCCAGGGTACTGAAATTAGGCCTGTAGCATGCTGGGATGAAGGACTACCAAGTTTGTTCAAATGAATGACCTTGATCCACTCTCAACCTGATGTCCTTGTACGACATTCAAGGTCATAGGCATCATATGTTTAAATCTTTTAATAAGGTTCTTATGAATCAAACACTGATATTCTGCCTGTAGCTGTATTTTAGTCCACTTTTAAGATTACAAGTGTAAGATTTATACCAGGTGAGCGATGCAGGCCCATTGGGCCTCTTGTTCATATATAAAGTAACCTCCCCTTCATATTGTGTTTGGATGCAACTGTAGCAAAGTTGGGTGGTGACACTTACATTGCCCAGGAAACTCGGTTAGTAAGAGTGATAGTAGAACAAACTCGGGTCCAGGGTTCGAATCCTGCTCTAGCTGAAGTTATATGCACAGAACATTGTGGCTAATTACAGATTGTATGTTTCACATTTTTGTTTTCATTCAAGTCCCACAAGGTATGGTTTTCTTTTCAGAAATGATTTATCAAAGCTACAGTCATGCCAGAAAAAATGCTTTTCAAAATGTAGTTACAGTTTTCAGCAGTGGCATGAGCATCCTTAAAATGTTTTGACCCTTGAAGCAGCTACATTGCACATAAATGCACCTCCTCCTCCATATCAAATTGGTGTCATTTAATGTCCTTCATTCTTAGTTTTACTTCAGATAGCCAATGTATAAGCTGAATTAGCCTCTGTAGTTTTAGTTGTAATTGATTTACCTAGATTTGATGTCCATGATGATGGAATGTTCAGACCTGAAGGCACCTAACAAGGCAAAAACATTCCACCGCCCTGCCCTAAAGGAACTACCAACGACGACCCAGACCTACCACCACACTTTCCACCAGAGTCAACAGGCTCGCCAGTGGACACAACCAGTTGAGGAGCTGTCTGAGCTCTTTACTCTAGGTGACTAATAACAAAGTTTCAAATGATTTCAACATACCATAGGATTATTTGTATAAGTTATACTTATAAAACTTCTAGTCCAAAACAGTGAAAGGGGTTTGGACTTGGAAGTTTTATATAGATCATACCTGGGGTAAGGAAATTCACTATTGTACAAATAAACTGAGGAGAGTAATCTGGAATTTTTTATAACTTACAAAATTTAATCCTTTTCCTTGTGTAATACTTTTGGCACACTGATCTTTACTTACTTGCCATAAGTGGAGGTCCTATTCAAAATAAAGAGTTTTTTGCAAGCCAGACATGGTTCTTAACTGTGAATCATTAAAAAGTAGAAGAACCTGTTCATGATGGGGATGATAATCATGAGCTTGTCTCTGATATACTAGAACTGTATGGTTGTAGATCCATCCACACAGCCTGTGCCCCACCCAGGGCAACCCCCCCAGGGACAGGAGGGGGCCAAATTTGAAATCCCTGGCTGGTGTAAGGAGGAGGACCGAATCCCTCCTGTATACAAACAAGTGCTAGAGGCAGCCATTGTGTAAGTTTGTAGTGGACGTTATTCATGTCAAAAGTGGAAGGTAATTACAAGCTATATCTGTGTTGATCAGTAATTAGAGGACTAATATAACTGTTGAGTCCTAATGCTTTTTTGAAAGTTTAAATAGAAAGTTTCTGAGACAAACAGAATTTTGTTATTGTTTTCAATTTTAGATATTTATTATTTTTGAAAATGAAAATGTCTTGTAATAGGAATGGCCAGATTGCTACAGAACGTCTATATCCGATCTTGTTGATGAGTGGACTGAACAAGGAGACTCTTGGGCAGATTTGGAACCTAGCCAACCGAACAACGCCGGGCCAGCTCATCAAGGAGGAGCTATACCTGATGTTGGCCCTGATTGCTTTTGCCCAGGTAAGCAAATGATGTAGATATAATATCGCTAAACAATGACATGGAAATGAACATGCATCAGTCCAGGTAGAAATGTAGTAATCATACTTACCGGTACACATAAATCATCCCACACACTCTGCCATTATTTATGTCTTAAGTTAGGTGCAAAAGTATACTGGAAACATGTTTGACTATTTACTTACTAAATTCTCAAAATTATATAATTCTATCAACTTTCCATTTATCTTAAACTGACATTTTCCAGCTGTGTATTTAACCATATGAACCTTTTTTCTATTCTCCTGCGTTTGGAAAATCTGAAATTAGCATTTTCCTTTCTGTTTATCTGTGCATTCATTCAACTTGTCTACAGTTTTCTGATCCAAATATTCATCCAGATTTCATGAAATTTCACACAAGCATTCCTGACATCAATCTCTAGAGCCTAGTCGAAAGTCAAGGTCATAGCTACAAAATCATTTTATCACGTGGCTTGTTTCTGACTAAGATTTGAAACCAAATTTGTTGATACTTCACACTAGTACGCCTGATGTAAATCTCTGGAGACCAGTGGAAGGTAAAGGCTGTACTTTCAAGGTCAGGGTCACAGATGTCAAATTGTCTTGGGTTGTTCCCAGGTTTCTGAAACACACACAAGTATTCTGACATCAATCCATCAAGACCAGTTGAAGTTCAGGGAGATATGTTCAAGGTCAAAGTCAATGCTACAGGTCCTTCCATCAGACCATGATGGTTGGAAAATTGGCATTTTAATGCATTTATGACTGATATTTCAGCACAATTTTATAAAATCTCATAAAATCATTCCATGCATCAGTCTCTGGAGACTATTTTGAAGTTCCAGGTCTTATGGTCCAAGCCAAGGTCACAACTACAGAATCTTTATATTTTTCAACCAAATTTCATAAAATATATTTCATATTTCTTAACACCATTGCCTGCACTGGTTGTTTACACATAAAAAAACATTTTTAACTTCCGTCACTATCGCAGAAAACCCTACAATTGATCGGACTCCCACATTGATTTGAGCGGCCTATATCATACTGTTTGCTGTACTCTTTGTTTTGAACATGAGATATTGGAATAAACCTTGATGCAGTGTTTATCTGAAACTGTTCTCTGTTGCAACACCTGTAGTAGGTATTTTGCCCTTCATATTTGATAACATGTCATTTAAAAGATAACTGTATTTTTTTTATATGCAACTATCATGGTTCAAAATTTATGTTTCGTACAAGTCATATTGTAATTTGTATTTTATAGAACAACTACCAGGCCCTGACAATGGACATGCTAAACAAACTCCCACAGCCTCCCATTCCTTTCCTTGGACAGCAGGGACAAGGTCCTTCAGGTCCCCCAGGTTCTCAAGGTCATGGTCATCCAGGTCAACAAGGTCAAGGTCCTCCGGGTCCTGGTCCTCAAAGTCAACAAGGGCAATGTCTTCCAATACCCCCCACAGCAGTTTCTCAACAAATGGTACCTTCTCCTATCATCCAATCAGGTACTCCGTTACAACAAGGGATCCAGGTGCCAGTTATACAGCCTGTGGTTGGTGTTGCTACAGCAGCTACCATGGAGGTTTTTGTACCTAGTGGTGATGATGATTTTGCTGATTTTCAGGCTGCTGGACCTACTCCAAAGACAGGTAGGTACTGTTATATTGTCATTGTGATTACCTGGCATGCATTACATCTCTGTTTTTCATTTTTTCTATCAGCATATTCTGTCTGCATAGGTTTAAAACCATATAGGACTGTGTGGTTTTGTTTTTGTTTTTACATTTATTAATATTCAACCTATTGATATATCATGTAGCTGTTATGTGTGTCTTAATGATTAATTTTATGGATTGATAGATACGTCTGTACCAGTCATGCCCAAACAACCAGTCAGACCCAAAAAGAAACCTGAAATTGAGTAAGTTTTATGTTTATTTTGTGTGGCTATATCTAGTAACTTTAATATGTAAAATATTGTCTTAAAATATCAATCAGGAAATGTGTAAGTTTAAACTTTCGGCCCCCTGTATCGAAGAGGTAACTTTGAAAATGATTTCTCATATCAGATTTGTGAAGAGCTATATTTGCTGAGGAAAATTGTTGAGATTTGATATTATAGTAGTTTTTACTTGATAATGGGGCTAGACCACTGATTGATGGGATCTACATGTATTGACAACACGATTATATAAACAAAAGTACATTATGTGTCTTGTGTAAACTAGATGCATGTGGAACATTCTGTAGATGTTGACATAAAGACTAAAAACTTAAAAGTCACTATCAATTATATGTTAATTTTTTTCATGATGTATAGGTGATTGTTTATGTTATTTTATCAATGTTAAACCCTGGATGTCAATGATGTAAAATCCACATCTTTTGCTGAACAGATTTATATTTTATGCTTATTAAACACTTTTTTGCATGTGAATGATATGCAGCTAAATGTTCCCTTAATCTATGTGAGTACAAAGTTCCCTGAGCTTATGACAGGTAAACTATAGCAAGGAACATCAGGAATCTTGTAAAGTAAGTTTTAAGTTAAGTTTTTGAACATCTGCTTTAGATACCTGTATGAGGTTCCAACACCTGCCGAGGCAGAGAGGATGACTGGACCCATCACTTCAGAAATGACCTACTCCAACGTACAGAACTTCTTCGGCAGTGACGACTCGTCGGGTAAGTGTGGGGATTAGTGGACTTGGTGACCTCTGTGTTGTGTTCCATACAGATCTGTGTTTTGGTGCACTTATTACCTACAACACTTCCAGATAGATGTAGCTGTTATCCAGTGTTTGTCGTGTTGTCACCCTCCAGGCCCCGTCACAGTTTCAGGACCTCATTTAGGAAGTTAATGCTTCTCCTCAAGATATTTCAATCATATACTAAAGTACTAGATATTTGAAAGATTTCATCAATGACGTCAGATTTGATTATAAAAATATACTTCTCAGCAGGATATTCTAATTGCTTGCTATTTAAAATACTAGATATGTGAAAGTTTCAAGTTTTTTTCAGCGTAATGTTTTGTTTGATATATTCTTAACTATAGATATAGTTAGTGTTGCTATGGTAACAGTTACTTAGCAAACTTAATATAGTAAATAACTAGAGTTATGAAATAGAAAATATGATGGCAAGGCTTTAGATTGCTTAGTAGATAATATTTATTTATTGTGTAAATATCCACTTAACGTAAGTCATAGACTCACAGGACATCATCAAAAAACACTTTAAAAAAGTGTTCTTAACCATTGTTGATTGTTTTTAATTTCTCTAATATCTTTAGATTTCCTGTAGTGTTTTACTACATATTTGTATTTCTATTGTATTTTACAAACCTGTGTTACTTTTGGAAATGGATTGTTTCTGTATTAATTTCAAACAACATGTCTCATATTGGTTCTCATTAGAATTCCCTGTTTTCTATCGTAGATCTGTATTGTTTTGGGAGTGGATTTTAAATTTAGTCCTGTTTGTTTTATGCAGTGTCCGCTTCTCCCCAAAGACAGCTCCTCAAAGGTATAAAAATACACAGCGGGTGTGAATGTCGGCATTGCATCCTGTATATATAGTGGTGGGGCTATTTTTACAACGTTGATTTCCTGATTTATTTTGCTCGACATCATGGATTTTAACATAGCGTTTTCCTTACATGCTCATCATTTTAGACATCTTGTTGCCTGGTAGGTGTAGGTGCATTAATGCCTGATCCATAATGCATCATGTAAAGTTTAGTCCTCGCAGTCAGTGGCTGAACCTTGTGGGTTTCCAACCATGTAACGTTTATATAAAATAATAAATAGTGTGCTGTTAATCTGTCTTTTTATATGTGTTGATGAAATTTTTAACATTTTCAGTGAAATGATTAGTTGATGAATAACATCTGTCCTTTTTTCTGTAAACTTTGCAGCCAAGAAACTTTCATAGTAATATTTACAAATTCATCACTTGGAAACCCCCTTGTGTCAGACCACTGTCATAATACCTTGTGTGTTGGTTACCGTCCTAGCTCATTTCAGGATTAAAATATTGATTGTATATATTATGTTGTTGTGATATTTTATTTTATTGAAATTAACATGACTGGTTTAACCTTTTGTCAGCTCTTCTGTTAAACTTTGCTATTTCAGGCCTTTATTTACAATTGTACACCGATAGAAATAATCTCACGACACTTATTAAACATGTTTAACATCGTTATAGAGAGTTGTGTGCCATTAACACTTCAGGCGTATGTACATCTCAGACTAGTGTTGTGTACCTTGTATCATACAAGTGTATGTACATCTCTAACTCCTGTTGTGTACCTTGTATTATACAAGTGTATGTACATCTCTTACTCATGTTGTATACCTTGTATCATACTAGTGTATGTACATCTCTGTCTCGTGTTGTGTACCTTGTATCATACTAGTGTATGTACATCTCTAACTCACGTTGGGTACCTTGTATCATGCAAGTGTATGTACATCTCTAACTCACATTGTGTACCTTGTATAATACAAGTGTATGTACATCTCAGATTCGTGTTGTGTACATTGTATCATACTAGTGTATGTACATCTCTGACTCGTTTTGTGTACCTTGTATCATACAAGTATATGTACATCTCAGACTCGTGTTGTGTACCTTGTACAAGTGTATGTACATCTCTGACTCGTGTTGTGTACCTTGTATCATACAAGTATATGTACATCTCTAACTCATGTTGTGTACCTTGTAGCATACTAGTGTATGTACATCTCTAACTCACGTTGCGTACCTTGTATCATACAAGTGTATGTACATCTCTAACTCCTGTTGTATACCTTGTATTATACAAGTGTATGTACATCTCTTACTCATGTTGTACACCTTGTATCATACTAGTGTATGTACATCTCTAACTCACGTTGTGTACCTTGTATCATACAAGTGTATGTACATCTCTAACTCACATTGTGTACCTTGTATCATACAAGTGTATGTACATCTCAGATTCGTGTTGTGTACCTTGTATCATACTAGTGTATGTACATCTCTGACTCGTGTTGTGTACCTTGTATCATACAAGTATATGTACATCTCAGACTCGTGTTGTGTACCTTGTACAAGTGTATGTACATCTCTGACTCGTGTTGTGTACCTAGCTTGTATCATACAAGTGTGTGTACATCTCTGACTGGTGATGTACATGTGTACCTTGTATCATTCAAGTCTATGCACAGCTTCAAAAATGTGTTATGTACTTTTGTTTATGTCAAAGCCATAAACTATTTTTAGAGTAGCTACACTAATAAGAAGTATGTGTTTGTTTTCATACTCTCAAATCTATCATCACATTCCATGTATGAGCTCCATTGGACTGTACATGAGGTCCTGTAAATCTATACAGATCAGTGTTCAAATTAATGATCTGTATAGATTTACAGGACCTTATTCAGTGTTCAAATATTCACCCCTGCAGGTGGGGGATCAGGAAAAGAATACACCTGCTGTTACCCACTGCATGTATCGTAACAACCGACTAATGTAGGAACCCCCTGCAGAATTGGGAATTTGCTTTGGTGTCCTCTATTTTGGGACACAAAAGCGACCTTAATAAAACTGCTGCGCCCATTGCAAAATTTGGTCGTGGGATCTTTATCTTTCTCTCTTCTTCTAACTACTTTTATTTCCTAACGCCTTGCTTGGCAACACCTCATTTTTGTCTTGAATGTTGAACGTTTGGCCAGATGAGAAAGGCAATGGGTTGTCCCCAGGCCGGGGCATACCAAGGTCCTAAAAAAGGAAGTTGTTATTCCCTGCTGAACGTTCAGCATTTAGGAGAATGGCAACAACTGGTTCACCCTTTGTCAGTATAATGTGACCGGATGGAGTGCTATCCTGGGTACCTTTGGCATGATATTTCAGTGAGATAGCACTATAAAGTTGGCATGTGAAGATCTGCGCTATCACAAGGAGGCAAGCACACCAACCAACCCAGGGTGTCTCCTGCATACACACACGCAAGCACGCATACACTAAACACATGGAGGCACGTCCTTAAATGACCTTATCTGTTAATAGGATGTTAAACAAAATTAAACCAATCAAACCAATGTTCAAGTTAATGTTTGAGCTATAATTTGAGGTTAAACCTGTGATAAGTTGTCAACAAGGATGTGATTGATCTTAAACAAGTACTTTGATTTGTAGGGGCATAACATTTTCTCTGCCTACATGCATGCATTATTAAAACAAAATAAATTCTTTGAGATTTTTTTCTTTCTTCATTATTTAGCTCACCTGGTCTGAAGAACCACAGTGAGCTTATGCCGTGGCGCAGCGTTCGTCGTCGTCGTCGTCGTCCGTCGTCAATTTTTTCTTTAAGACCTATCCTCCTAAATGCCAAAGAGGATTTCAATCAAATTTAGTCTGAAGCATCACTAGGGAAGGGCAATCATTTCTTAAATAAATGAGGTTGGTTTGACCCCTGAGGCCATGGGGGTGAGGCCCTAAAGGAGAACCTAGCTAAATTTGCTTTCAAATGCATCTCCTCCTAAACACCAGAGAGGATTTTAACCAAATTTGCTCTGAAACTTCATTTCCTAAATAAATGAGACGGGTTCAACACCTGGGGCTAGGAAGACCGGGCCCCAAACAGGAAAATTATCTAATATTTTGCTTTAAGATGCTAATACCCCCTAATTGCCTGAGTGGATTGTACAAAATTTGGTCAAAAACATTATTGAGGAAGAACAAACATTTCTTAATTGAATGAGGTTGATTTAACCCCTGTGGTCCTAAGAAATGGTACAGCTAGATCATCATATTCTATGGTGTAGTTTTCATAAATTGTTAAAAATTGGTTTCTAGGTTTATAAAGCTTATAGTTGAATGAAAATTAAAGTATTGTCTAATTACACCCTGTAATATGACATATTACTTATTTCAAAATCTGTAAACATGGCAACTCAATGGAGGCCCTCGATTAGTTGAAAGACAGATATTGTGGTCCCAGTTGGGTTAGAACATAGATCTTGTCTGGATTTGAGGAAATTTCATATAAAGATGTACTAATGCATCCAGTTGTAATGACTTAAATATAAAACCAGGTGAGCAATACAGGTCCAATGGACCTCGTGTTTTAGTTAGGCTTATCAGAAATAACGTTTAAAATATATTAAAACTACAGATTTTGCAATGCCATTGAATTTAGAAGATGTCAGTCATGTTTAGAATTAGGAAAATGTAAGTTTGTAAAGCTTTAATGTTTTTCAGTTTTGAATGTTTCTGCATCAGTCTAGAGTTATAGTATTGCAGTGTGATTAGTATACCTGCCTATTGGATGTGCCTCGTGATCATGTGTGTACTAGCCAGCTGTGCTGACCTGCCCATGTACTAATTAATCCACCAATCCCTTTATCCTAACTGTAGATATGGCATTGCTTTGTTGTCTATACAGTGCAACACCTAACACTTCACTTGAAACCAGCGTAATGTGTTACCAGAAACATTGTATAAAATCACAAGCATGAAAACATAAAGAAACAAACTATATGTTAATTAACCTCTAAAAATTGAGATTATGTGTTGGCAATATCATAAATTTAGCATCAATATAAAATATATATGATCTGATTATTTACCCAAGCAAAATGATTTAAAGGCATGATGATTGTGCAAAATATTTTGTTTCCCATGCAGAATATAATATACATGTACTGTACATGTATTTAAATGTGTTCAAAGACTATAGTTTTACATGCATAGACATGGAATTCAGTGTAACAACAAAGCAAGTTTTATACAGTAAAAGGGAGTAAGAACTGAACCAGTTTTCTAAGTACCTCACTAAAGACATTAGCTACCTTATTTTAAGTATTAGGCACATCAATGTACAAGAATTGTTCTACCTTTTTCCTTGAAAATGCACGATTTCTAACAGGAAAATAGCCTTTATCACTCAGTTTTGTTTCCTGTTTCGAAACAGAGGTGTACGGTAAGCATTCCAAAATCCACAATTATTTTAATGTGTTGGGATTGCTGATTTTGTTTATACAGTTGATGTTCACTTGATTGCATGACCTGATTGTGTTGGTACAGGACTTGGATTAGTGTAGTTTTACAGTTTAAGAGGATGGGACACCCTCCCAGACACATCTAACCAGATGAAGTGTAATTTTACAGTTTAAGAGGATGGGACACCCTCCCAGACACATCTAATCAGATGAAGTGTAGTTTTACAGTTTAAGAGGATGGGAGACCCTCCCAGACACATCTAACCAGATGAAGTGTAGTTTTACAGTTTAAGAGGATGAGACACCCTCCCCAACACATCTAACCAGATGAAGTTGGCATTAATTGTTTGGTGTCATTTTTATACACAAGATGTCACTGTACGTTGTTCATAAGGGTGTGTTTTGGTGTGGTGACTAGATTTACTGTGCTATAGTACTAGTACAGTCAGAACACAATGACCTGACGTTTTGACCTTGGATTACCATATTGATTACAGGCAAGTCGATGATCGGATGAACCCTAAGGGACATGTCATGAACAAAACAGTCATAATGACTACCAGTAAACGGCTATCATCGCTGAGAATTTGATATCTATTGGTAAAGCAACAACTACTTCTGTTAATTCATGTCATCTGTGTGGTATATTGTACATAAATTATATAACCCAGGGTCCAGTTTCAGTAAGTTTAACTTAAGTAACTAACAAATCATAAGTACAATATTTTCAAAATTGTGCATTTTCTATTGGCATTGTTCTGTCACATTTATTTCAAAAATCACTAGCATACATGATTAACTATGAAAAATTTCCCTGATTTAATATCACAGCATTAGTGACAATCAGTCTCGGTATGTGTGTTTTGTATTTGATACACCTGACCATCAATGAATAGGTGGGCACACCTACATAAGGGGCCTGTTCGTTTATGCGGAACAACGCGGCAACCGGTACGTTCGTTTTTAAATGTTACATTTTCAGGTATAAATCCTAGAGGACCTGCAAAAGTTTATGCAGGCCTTGCAAGGCTTTTGCAAGGCACGCGTGAAAGCAGCATCAGATTACTGGGTCTGGCTTTATTTCATAAACGAACAATTCTGGTCCAACTGGTCCAACCGTTTGGTCCGCACGATAGACAGAAACGGCCAAGGACTGTTACTGGCCAGTGTTAATATATATATCCCACAGAAATGTCAATGTGACAGGTCATTTGTGTCTGACTCTACTGACTTGTAGGAGATTCTGTTTGGGCTATCTTTCATAGGAAAGAAAAAAATACTTGACAATAACCCATTTCTGTTTCAGAGTGTATATGTATATGAACACTATATGATTAAATGGCATTTTAGCTTACCTGGCACAAACAGATGATCAAGTATGTAGTTACAGTAGCATGATGTTCTTTGTCATCAAATTGTTCACTTTAAACCAATTTTTTATCATACATGTTACATAGTCATAGGGTCAAGGAAATTCAATTCAAGAAAAAACCAGGCTGGACATACAAAAAATATATATATATATTATTTTCAGAAACTTTCAAAAATCTTCTTTTGCATAGTAGATAAGACAGATTAGAAATTTCTGTTTTTGTCACTGCCTGTTAATCTGAGTTTAACTTTAAGTTATGCAAGAGTCAAAGTTCAAAGTGGTTTGTAATATGTAAGGTGTTTAAAAAAAAATTGTGGTAAGTATCTGAAACTTGATTGTTTATATTCAACATTATATTCATTTATAATCAATTATCACATAACTTGAATTGACCCCCATAGTTAGGCAACATGATCTGTCACATAATTGTACGTGTATAACTCTATGATCTTTGAAATAAGTTTGTTTTATGAGACTATAAACATGCATGGGAGTAGTAAGTACTATGTCTTACTTACCATAGATGTATGGGATTGTATTGCAGATACAAATATAACTGAGGTCAAGGTCACTGTTGACATTTTAACAAAAATATTTTCAATTTCTTTATATGACGTTTTCTTTGGCTTAGAGAACCTGAAACTCATACACCCATAGAACTTTAACTTTAGGTTAAGGATGCATGAGGTACACATTTAAAAAAAATGTATAAGAAAGTTAGTAATAATGTTATGTTTTATTACAGGTTAAAGGTAAATAAAGGAATGATATCACTGGCAATGTAATGTACTGTAGTTTATCAATTATGAAACTACTGGTAATCAATGGACAGGGATAATTCAACAGTTAAAGATCCCCGTATCACTGCAAAAATTCTTTGACGTCACTGTAGCTTTAATAGATCGTTTCAAAAAAGAAAGAAAACTCTGCATTGGGGAACTTTCATGAACAAAAAATACAGATGCAATAAATTACAACAAATCAACAACAGTGTTCCGAGTTAATCAGTAGAACCGGATATGAACCCTGGACCTCTGCATCATTAGATTATCGCTCTAACTGACCAAGCTACCTCGGTAGTGGTAGTGCCCTTTAAATAACTTCTTCTGAATAATCAAAAGAACCAGGATGTTGATATTTGGTCAGTAGTATGCTGGGATAAAGGGCTACCAAGTTTGTTTAAATAAATGACCTTGTCCAGTATTCAAGGTCACAGGGGTCAAATATGTTTGAAACCTTTAAGCATTTTCTTCTCAATAACCAAAATGCCCAGGATGTTGATATTTGGTCAATAGCATGCTGGGATGAAGGGCTACCAAGTTTGTTCAAACAAATGACTATCACCCATTTTCAAGGTCACAGGGGTAAGATATGTTTTAAACATTTAACCAACTTCTTCTCAATTACCAAAAGGCCTAAGATGGTGATATCTGGCCAGTAGCATGCTTGGATAAAGGGCTACCAAGTTTGTTCAAACGAATGACCTTCACCCAAATTCAAGGTCACAGGGGTCAAATATGTTTAAAACTTCATATCAACTTATTCTGAATAACCAAAAGGGCCTGAAGCATGCAGGGATGGAAGGCTTTAAACTCTGTTCAAATTAATGACCTTATTTTGAATAACTTTGAGTCAAAACACTGATATTTTTCCTGTAGCTTTATTTTAGTCTACTTTTAAGGTAACAATTGTGAGATTAATACTAGGTGAGCAATGCAGGCCAATTGGGCCTCTTTTTTCCAAAATGAAATTAAGGGGAGTGGATCCTTAAATAAAAATCCATAGCAATTATACAACTGTCATGTGACCATATATATCCCCCCCCACCCTCCCAAAATGTACCTGATTATGAGCTGATAAAACAATGTTGGACTATATATATTCATGAGGTTTTAGTATTGATTTAGTATTGGGTGGTGACCTAATTCACAAAACAGTTATGGAACTAGAAAATTTCAACCATATGTATTTGAATACCTATTTCATGCTCAAGTTATATGGAAATGGGGTTTTTTCAAACCTTTTATATAAATAATGATATGTATCTAAATGTTTGCCAAATACAGTGTATCTTTATAAATCCTTTCTTGATTACAATATTTTTATTCCTGACCAATTTGCTTTCACTGCTGACATACAAATATTAATGCTCAGATTTGCCCTTTCTTGGTACATTTCATAGCGGAGTGACTCTTCCTGTCCTTAATCTATCATTAATTGTAATTAATTTAATTTATCAAATTGACAATTTTTTCTGTTTTCTAAAAAAATAACACTTTATCTTTTGTTTGATTATTAATTACTTTGATTTATTGCTTTCATCACAAATTGCGAGGTTTCATTCTTTTAAGGAGCTATACACTTTACAATTATATAACAGCGAAAATAATTGAGTTGTCTTAGAAAAGTTGTATGACTTTTTATATGTTATTAATCCTTTCACCACTGTAGACTATAATGGACTTATCTAGATCAATGCATGATAGAGTTTATTTAAGTTGCATAGGGGTGAAAGGGTAAGAAAGTACAATGATTCATCAATGATACAGAACTATAGGTGATTTAATTTCTTATTACTAGATAATTATTTTGCTAGCCTTGAAAAGCCCTTGCCTATTTATTTATTTTCTTCTGTGATTAACATTTTGACCTGAGGCTATCTATGTAAATAAATTAGTCACTAGATGGTTAAAATGGTACTGTAAAATTTGACAAGAAAAGTTAATACTTTTGAAAAAATCGAATATTATTTCTCCAATATATTGTAATATAATATCAATAATAAAATTCTGATTTTCAAGGATGTATATTTGTGACTGTTTGTATTTGTTCCATGCATATTTATATACACTGTACAGACCTTTTGACTGTTTTGCATTATGTACAAGTTATACATGTTTGTTTTAAAACAATTTTACAAAGTAGTTGAAATTGTGTGAAACAGCTTTTGTTCATCATTTTTTTTTTAAATGGTACATTGTTCTAATTACCACTTATGGAAGATGATCATTTTTTGTTGAAGGTCCATCAACTCCAAACAGCCTAGAAGCTGATTTTGACGATTTCAAGTCTGCGGACAGCAAACCTAGCGATAGCAGTCAGTTCTCCTCGGAACAGTCTGAAAATGAGGACTTCAAAGCGTTTGAGTCTTACCTGGAGGATTTTGAACGGAAGAAACAGAAACAGCAGGAGAGTCCACTCCATCGTCCAGTATCCAAATCCTCACTTCCTTTACCCAGCATGCCTTCCACTGCAGTTCCCACGGCGATCCCGGCCATCCGTAATTTGTGGTCAAAGCCTCATGGTGATGCTATTGTAACTAGTGTACCATCTAAGCCATTACAAAGCTCACAGTTCCACACCCCTGACCTCGTGGTAGCTGACTCCACAGAAAAATCTGACCAACAGTTTGGAAACTCACCCCCCAAATCGTCCGATTCTGATTTTGCAGATTTCCAGCAGGCGCCTGTTGTAGGAAACTTTTCAAAATCTGCTGTGTCTAGGCTTACTGCAGATCATGATCAGTTGAAAGCTTCAGGTAGTGATGTCAGCTTGACATTGATCGGTGAGGAAGACAAATATGCAGCGTTGAGATCTCTAGACTTTGGATCAGAATTGAGCACAGGAAATGAGGCTGGTTCAGCAGAGGGTCCCAACCCTCCAGAGGAGGGTGCAGAGGATGATGATGAAAACTGGGCAGATTTTCAAGGTGTTGTTTTAGATCAGGAACCAAAAACAGAGCCAACAGGGACTGAGGTTCCTGGTACTGATTCAGGAAAGGAAAGTATTTTAAGTCTTTTTAATAGTGCACCACCCATTACATCATCTGTTAACTCTGATCAACCAATGGATGCTACAGTTACAAGTGTCACTCCACTGCCATTAGACAGTAATACAGATTCTGATTGGACAGGTTTTGGTGAGAGTTCTAAAACAAGTACAGAGGCTGATTCTGGTTGGCCGGCATTTTCATCCAGCAGTACATTTGGTGATTCTGGACACTTGGAACCTGCTCCAGCATTTGAACAAACAGAGACAGCGAGTGATGACTGGGCAGACTTCCAAGGTCCCGAGGACGTGAGTAGTGCTACAACAGACAGCAGTTCGGGTGTTGATAAGGATGCTGTCATCTCTGTGAAGAAGGAAGGTCTACAGTCAGAAGAAATTCTCGGCCTATTTAAGGTCAGAGAACCACAGAATTTACCGACCGATCTTAAAGAAGTGTATACGCAAAAAACAGCTGTTAACAGTGAATGGAATCCACAGGTGGCTGCATCTACCAATACATATCTTGATGGGGAATCAAAAGTATTTTCTGCAAAGGCAAAACGCCTGCCATCATTAGGTCCTGAAGATGAGGAGGAGGATTCCTTCAGAGTACCGCCTCCCATGGACGACGACCAAGGTGATGAAGACTTCAGTGAGTTTAGTCGTGGATATGAGGACATGGATAACTACCACCAACCCCAAACCATGCTAGATGATGGCAGGAGGAAATACCATATGTCTGGTGTGGGGGTTGTGTCCAAACCAGTGGTGAAGGAGGCAAAGAAGGCTGCATCAAATGCCCAGTCCAGGTATGCTGACATAATGATGCTGGACCAGACAGACGTGGATCAAGGTCTCCCCAAGGACACACTGGACATTGGTCAGGACCAGCTGTCAATCACCAAGAGTGAGGACTCTCAGTCGATATCCAGTCTGGAGCTGCCGTTCTCTAAAAGTCGGCTACAGAATGTCCTCGACCAGGACACGCAGTCTATATCTAGTAACGAGTACGGGAACTTTGAAACCATTCTACCAAGGCAACTTAACACTCCGGTCAACATGGAGTCCAAGTCTGTAGACAGTTTGGACCTGATAAAGGATGAAGGTAATGGTGATAGCAGTGAGGACCAGGGGTCTGGGGATCGGTCGCGGGGAGAGAGTCCTGAGAAAGGCGCTGAGCTGAGTACCACAGAGGGAACCAATGTAGAGGAGACTGCCAACGGTAAGTACAAAGTGCTGTTTCCCTCACTGATTGTAGCTGAAAATCATTTAAATACTGAAAAACTTTTATTCATGAGAAATATATTTTTGCACTTACAGAAAAGTTATAAATGTGAATTTATGTTTTTATAAGATCCAGCTACCTTTGTTCCCAATAGATAAACCAGTCACTTTCATTCTCAGTAGAAAATTCAGCCACCATCTTATCCGGTAGATTCTTTAGAAAGAGTAATGCAGCCTTCTTCATTGCAAGTAGATAATCTAGCCACCTATGTTCACAATTGGAAATCCAGACACCTTTATGCCCAGTAGATAAACCAGCCACCTTTGCTCCTATTAGGAAATTAAGACATTTTTGATCTCAGTAGAAAATCTGGCAACATTGTTCTCAATAATCAAGCCACCTTAGTCTTTTGTTCCAAATAGATTATCATGCCACGTTCATTACCATCAAAAGTATCCAAGATATAGCCAGCTGGATTATTTACAAAAAATGACTATATTTCAGAAATTTACTATAAATCTACCTCATAGTTATATGATATGTAAGCAATGCTATAATTCCAGTTAACGACACTTTCCAAGCTTCGATGCAGAATACTTTACCAGTCCTTGGCGACCGATACAGTAATATTCTACAGGACATTCCCGTAAGTTTTTACAGCAAGTTGACAGGAAGTTCCATTCAGTCTTTAACAGGAAGTTCCATTAATTCTTTATAGGATGTTACAGGAAATACAGGTCATTTTCGTAAAACTTTACACCAATATTCTACAGGACATTCCTGTAAGTTTTTACAGTAAGTTTACAGAACATTTCCATAAGTCTTTACAATGATATTCTACTGAACATTCCCTTGTTAGTATTTACAGCAATTCTACTGGACATTCGCTTGTTAGTATTTACAGCAATTCTACTGGACATTCGCTTGTTAGTATTTACAGCAATTCTACTGGACATTCGCTTGTTAGTATTTACAGCAATTCTACTGGACATTCGCTTGTTAGNTACAGCAATTCTATAGGACATTCCCTTGTTAGTATTTACAGCAATTCTATAGGACATTCCCTTGTTAGTATTTACAGCAATTCTACTGGACATTCCATTGTTAGTATTTACAGCAATTCTACTTGACATTCCCTTGTTAGTATATACAGCAATTCTACTGGACATTCCCTTGTTAGTATTTACAGCAATTCTATAGAACATTCCCTTGTTAGTATATACAGCAATTCTATAGGACATTCCCTTGTTAGTATTTACAGCAATTCTACTGGACATTCCATTGTTAGTATTTACAGCAATTCTACTTGACATTCCCTTGTTAGTATATACAGCAATTCTACTGGACATTCCCTTGTTAGTATTTACAGCAATTCTATAGAACATTCCCTTGTTAGTATATACAGCAATTCTATAGGACATTCCCTTGTTAGTATTTACAGCAATTCTACTGAACATACAACTACATTATTGTACATCTTTGTCAAAGAAGTGGCAGTGATCTTGTTCATAGAAGTCATTAATAGAAGTCATTAATAATAGAAGTCATTAATAGACCTAGAGAGGACTGAAGTACGATACTGCTTTTCTGTAAGTGGTTATCATAGATATAAATGTTATTGCAAGTCTGCAAGAGTTAAGAGAAAATTTACTTAAACTTAAATCCTATTTTGAAATTTGTAAACAGGGATGCAGTATTCCACTAGTCTTACATCTGGGGTTGATAGATTTTGTGGCAGAGCTAGTGAAAAATGTTCAGTATGTACTATTGATTTATAGGATGGCTAGAAGGATATTTCAAAATATGCATGTAGTTTAGTGCTATACATAAATAAAAATGTGAAGTTGTTTACCCCTCACTATACAAAGTATATAGGGTTGAAAGAAAAGAAAAATTGAGCATTAGGATTCTGATATTATTTCCTTTTAGACATAAATCTTACAGTATGAAAAACGCTTATGTCAAATGTATTTATTTATAGGAATACAAATGTATTACATTTGATATGAACAAAAAACACTTTATCCTTTTCTTGTCTAGTTATTTGATATTTTGTGTTGAAAGATTAATGTAGTTTTTATCAAACCTACAGGGCAGTGACAAACATTCCTATGAATGGCAGCGTTGCCTTGACAACAGTTATCGTATGATCAAGGATGCCAACAATATCTTCAACTCCATCAGCAGTTCTGTGGTGTGTAACGAGGTTCTGAAGTCGGAGCAGGGGTCGGAGTACGTCCAGGGAGTCGTGGAGATCTTCAGGGTTGTCTGTCGTATCACCACGGCAATGAAGTCACAAGGTAGTTCATTGTTTGTCTCAAGTTGATTGCAAATTCTTGTTATAATTAACATTGTCCTTATTTTGTCCATAGACAAGGACAACTTTTTTGTGAACATTAAACTTGAATTTGTAATGTTTTTAAATTGTCAGCATGCTGTACTTTTGTAAGTCTGGCAAATAGAGCAAATATAGGACTATGAAGAAGCAGACAAATACGATATGAGAGAGATATATTTTATTTTGTCCTACATTTTAATATTTGTTTGTATACCTGCTTCACTCTAGATTTCTTCTAACATTGTAATTTGTTTGTCCTGCTTAGGCCTGGCAACAGATAAACTCAGCCAGCTGCTGAAGGACATAGACCTATCATGGAACAACTTGACAGCTTTCCTGGTCGGCGGTAACCTAATGGTCAGCATACCCGTTATGTTATGTTACCTTATAAAACCTGTTGTTTGGCATCAATGGCAAATTCATGTATAACACATAATAATTCTGGTTGTAATATACCTTGAGTTTAATGCAAATAAATGTTTCCATGAATAAGAATACAGGAGTGTCAGTTTGTGATCATATTAATTAATGCACATAGTATAAGTTATACGTTTTACCAAATTAAAACATTCCAAAAGTTACTTTTGAAGAAGTCCAAGTTGATCTGCATCATTTGCCGTTTTGGTAAGTTAGTGTAGGACTGTTGTTAAGTCATCACAGACTGTACTCAATGGTGCTATTTAATTTACTTATAACCATATGTATTTTATTTTTATTTCATTTTTAGCCGGACGACAACTCTCTCCATTTCAACAATGCTCTTTTGAAGTCAGATGACTCGCTGTCTCAGAGGAAGGCATGTGGGGTTTGTCTGTTGAATGTGGATACACTGAGTAAAAACTTCAATCGTGAGGACGAGTGTCCGAAGCTAACGTACGGAGGACGTCAGTACCACGCGTCATGTGCAAACTTCTGGGTGAACTGTGTGGACTCCACTTTACCGGCTCTCAAACTAACGGAGCTATTGTGATAGGAGTATTGTTCATGGTATTGTTGATGGAAAAATACATTATTTTTTTTGTATAGTCAATATATTGAATTTTAGTTTTTTCTTAAAAATTTGTTGTGAGATAAAAAGTGGGTCACATTTTCTTTTTGCTGTTTTTGTCAACTCGCCAAGCCCCTAAAACAATTCTTAAATGACCCAGTCTTACATGTCATGTGTCTATATTTTTATCCTCCCCATGTTATGTACTTGACGTGAGTTAAGCGTCTAACATGTCCTGTAACCATGACAGTACCTTTAGAAGGAAAATTTGTCCAAAGCCAAAAGCTTTTAGATGTTTGCTTGTTTCTCAGGCCTCTTATAATACTTTTGAACATGCTGCAGTGCTAATTCTGTCCTAATTTTTTTTTTCAATTGTGAAAAGAATTCTGGATATAAATACTGTTATTTTGTTCATAAAGAAGATTAAACAAAACCTAAAAAGCAGATAACATAAAGCCTTTTTATAGAGAGAAATTATTTTTATGTTCCCCAGAGAAAATGTCGGAGTATATGGTCATAGTTTGTTCATCTGTCCATTATTGGTCAGTTTTTCTGACTAACTGAAGAGTGGTCAGTGAATTATAAAGATGGTTGTAGGATGACAAGGCAGTGTGTTGTGTACCAATATTGATTCTATTTGCCTGTGATCAAGGCCACATTGAGGTCATAGGTCAAATTCATTATCCTGGCCATAACATCTGACTCACTTTAAATAACTCAATAAATTTCAATGATATATGTAGGAGGGCAAGGTAGTGTGACACGTATACTTGTATTGGGGACTGTACACCCAAGGTGGTGTGACACGTATACTTGTATTGGGGACTGTACACCCAAGTTCAAGTTATGTTGAGGTCATTTTTTCAACTTTTTTCAAATGAAGAGCAGATCGTTGGTTGTTACAAGATTGGATCAATTATCACACATAATGAAATTGATTAGCCTACATGTACCTGGTATTCAGTTGGATTTCATCATGATATTTCAAAATTACTGAGACATGGATGACTTTCCAAGTTAATTTGATGTGAACCTTTTTGTAAATCAATTGGTCATTCTCCCATGTAATCCCCCCCCCCCCTCTTCTTTCCCCTCCCCCACCCATACTTCATAGTTATCCTATATGTGTGACTTAATTCAGTCTCCTTTATTATTATTATATACAATGTCTAGGTTATTCCTTAGAGCTTCTTGCATTGTAGAATGGGGGACAGAATTTCTACATTCTGGAACAGGTTTGTTAAACTATTGAATTGTGAGAATGTTGAAATGTGAAAAGGGGATCTGACATGAATGCTGTAGAAAGTTTATATTTTATATAAGCATTAATCTTTACATCATGTGATATACATATAGCTTTCCAACCTGAGCCCCATTGTTCAAATCTATATTAGACTTACCAATCATTAATGCAAATTTTGAAAATTCAAAATTTATATTCATTTTTGTATTGTTTGGCATCAGACAATAATTTGGAACCCCAATACGTGTACCATAGTTTATTTTTGAATTTCAATATTTTTGAGCAAAATTACCAGTAAGTGAAATATTTTCATGAACTCATTCACCCTTGAAATTTCATAATGAACTATTCCAACCTTTGAATTGGAAGACTTCAAATGTGTTTTCAGGGGTGATTGAGTGAATGATTGTGAAGCAAATCATGTTAACAATTGGGCCTAGATAGTTTTCCTTTGTCTTCTTTTTGTATATTAAGATCCCTTTGTATTATTCTTATACTTTAAGTAATGCCAGGAATTGGATTCCAGCGACTTAAGTCTCCCAATGTCTTTTCTTGTACATTGAGTTTTTTCCATTGTCTTCTCTTTTACATTGAGTTTGCTTTTATATTCCAGTACATTGAGTTTCCTTTGATCTTCTTGTGTAGAAGGTTCACTTAGCTTTCTTAAGATAATAAATCATTTAATTTGTAAAGATAACTTTCTGTTAATTCTTGTCAGGTGAATCTGTTGTACAGTGTTTGTGTCCAGCTCAAAGGAACCTCTACCAGTGTAAAATCAGTGCAATATTTCTTAGTGTATGCTATATGTATTTATTGGTATGTTGACGCTAGAGACATGTATTGTTAATTGTTAATGAACATTCCCATTGTATGAGTGCTGTTTACCAGTAAAACTCTGTACACATATTTACATGATCATGTACAACTATTTAAGATTAAATCTGTTAAATATGTCAGATTGGTGTTGATGTCTTTGTTTGTCCCACTACTTCCTGGTACTGTGAATTCCAGGTAATGTTTTTTGGCTATGTATCATATGTCAGTTATTGCCAGATACCTATTCCTAAAAAAAAATATCTCTTTGAATGTAATTTGTTTTTAGATTCAATAATTTTATTTATGTCTTGTGATTTGAAATTAACTCCTCATCATATTTTCTAATGCCAGTGTCCAAAAATAATGTAGGTTTTAAGATTTAGTTTTGTGCTTAAAAAAAATAAAATGGATTTATATGAACAGAAAACAGTTCTTATGTTAATATCACATTTTGTTTCAAATAGAAAATATCCTTGACAATTGACACATGATATTGATAAGTGTTTATTTCACTGCCATAGAGGACTATCACTATATACTGTCACACACACGTCCTTAAATGACCTTAGCTGTTGATAGGACGTTAAACTCTAAACAACCAACCCATCACACATATTCCATGACATACCTAGTATATCAGTTTACTATTAAAGTTAACCATGTTTGGTATGCGAGTAGATTTTTCATCTATGCTTCTTATACTAACAGAAAATCTATATTACTAACTTTGTACCTTCTATATACGAGGTATTACTACCAGGAGAAACAAACTAGTAAAAGGACATAGCATGCGATGGTGTTACAACGTAGCTCAATCCGACCACATTGCGACTTTCATTGACCCTTGACTGCTATCATATATTCCGTCTTTGCGTATTGCAGAGTTATCTTCTCTTGTGAGCAGGTGTTGATTGTTACGTCATTTGTTTGTGTGAGAAAATTACGTCGTTTTCTCAAAAATTGATGACGTTACTCTGCCAAACAAATGACGTAACAATCAATACCTGCTCACAAGAGAAGATAACTCTGCAATACGCAAAGACGGAATAGTAAAGGGATGCCTGAATCAATATCATAGTGAAAGTTTGTCAACACCATAACTTATATATGTTAACGTCTAAAACTCCAAGTTCTTAAATCTGTTCACCATGTCATCCAAGGAATATAAACCTACAGCTGAGCGCCATTTCAAAACGATTCCGGTGAATCTTAACTTATCGTTTTGCTTACAGGAATCTTCTCATAATCAATACTTACCAACCTGAAGAAAATGTTTAGAAAAAAAACCCAACATTAGGATGAATATTTGAAACAGGTGGATTTCATGGTATAGAAATGAAAGATAGAATTTGTATATATATATTGGAACGAAGACGACTCATTTCATTGTTGAATATACTCGGTATACTGATAACAAACCGTTTCATTAAAACAAATTGTAAAACCTAGTTGGGCCAAATTTCTGCGTCATAGGAAAAGGAGATTCAATATTGTTTAAGCTTAAAGGAACCACTCTGCACTATCGCTTTGATCGTTTTTGCATGGTCTGTGTGTTGTTCTATTTGTTTATATATATATATATATAGTTATATTTTGTATTATTTCCACTGTACTAACAACCCTAAGGTTTAAGATAATGAAAAATGAATGAATCGGAACGCTCGTCAAAGTGTGAAGGGTATAGAGAGGCTAAAGTTCAAGAACCAAGACTTCTAGGTCACTTGATTAGATTTGTTTCAAAACATGAATTTTGTTTTCAAAACAGCTAATGAAATATCAGGAGATTAATACTTAAATTGTTGTACAAAGTACATATCGCTACTAGTCAGCGAAGCATCACGTATAAGTAGTTTACTGGATGTGCTATATGAACCCGTATACAATCCTTTAAGGAAATCTTAAAATGTAAGATTTTATGTGGGAAAACAGTTAAAATAGAAAAAAAAATGTATCTACAGTTACATAGCTCCAATGCCTTTCGCAAACAGGGAACAGATAATTACGATATAAATGCGACTTTTGTATAAAGCGGTAATTATTTTAAGTGCATTATTGAAATGGATGTGAATTGTTGACGCACAAGTTTCGTTACTGCGTCCTGCCTGTTGAATGATGCATCAAAGTAAGGGTTACTTCCCTTGTATCAAGTCGGCTAGACCATTTCTTATTTTATTTAGCGTGGGCGGGCGTATAAAATAAACATAAAACACGTGTCATTTACAGCTACACGCCTGTGTGCTTATATTGTATACGTGATTAGTCTTAGGGTTATCTTTTCAATGATATTACGTTTCCTTACTCCTAACACATACATTTTAACTGTACGAAAGTTAAGGATATACGCTACCTTTCACATGATGTACAAGTGAGTATTGTTATTATTGTCCCCCTTTAGATATTTACATTTCCTGGCACCTTATATACGTGTTTTGCGTAAAACTTGTCTCCCTCAAGGAATTTATGCTTCCTCAGGATACACCATACATGTGATTTTTGTGAGATCTGGATACATGCTACGTTACACATTATGTCTATGATTGTTTAAGAATTCCTTAAGGATATATGCTACGTTACCCACAATGTCTGTGATATATGTTATATAGTTATCTACCTTAAATTTCCATTAGAAAGTATCTAGCAATCAGTTAGTATGTCATTTTCCATATAAGTAATCAGAGGGGACTAGTTTTGTTGGGTCCTAATCTAAGTTTCTGAAAATGCATATGCTTATGAGACGTATCATTAGAATAATCCACTAGCATCTCAAACGTGTTTACATATAACACACATACAGTCAAACTTCCATCGGGCGGTAACATTCCGTGTATTTTCTGATATATCAGCGGGAGATTTGTAGGCATAAAGATAACAATCTACTAATATACACGAGTTAATAACATTCCTCGTTATTCTAGCTGTACGTGCCTGTAATCCACCATACATTTGCCAGGCTTAGCACGTTCTAAAACGCAAGCCGTGGCGGATCCTGAATTTTTAAATTAAAATCTTTACATCTCAAAAGTGCGTGTGTGTGGATGGAGGAGATGAAGTTCGTATGTTTTTGGGCACTTCTATTTGGTTTCCTAGATTTACCATTGACAAATTTGTTTCAAGATCAATGAAGGTACATTAAAAACAACAGTAGGCTAAACAACAACACGATTTCTTTAACATGTTTTCTTTATTGTAATAAAATACATATTTTCACTGCTGTACAACCATACATAATTCCTATATATAAATATACGTATTTTTAAATTATATTAATATAAATACATGTGTATCAATATACAGTATGCCAAGCTAAACGACGTCACAATGTCGAAAAAAACCGTAGATAGGGGTAAAGACAGGAAAGGTTTGTGTAAGGGCGGGACCCCCTGACGGACTGTACTCCGACACATCGTCAGGAAGGTATCGGTAAGGTTTTTACGGGCGGGACCCCTGACACGCTGTACTCAGACACATCGTCAGTTAGGTATCGGTAAGGTTTGTGTACGGGCGGGACCACTAACAGACTGTACTCAGACACATCGTCAGTAAGGTATCGGTAAGGTTTGTGTACGGGTGGGACCTCTAACAGACTGTACTCAGACACATCGTCAGTAAGGTATCGGTAAGGTTTGTGTACGGGCGGGACCTCTAACAGACTGTACTCAGACACATCGTCAGTAAGGTATCGGTAAGGTTTGTGTACGGGCGGGACCTCTAACAGACTGTACTCCGACACATCGTCAGTAAGGTATCGGTAAGGTTTGTGTATGGGCGGGACCTCTAACAGACTGTACTCAGACACATCGTCAGTTAGGTAGTGGTATTGGTTTATCATGTAATTATATAACATGAGTGAGTGAGGGAAGGACGTACTTGGGCTGGCCTCTCGACATGTGTGCACTCTCTCAAAACAACGCAGGCATTACGTTAGTATGGTGCCATTAATTAGTCATATAACATGTGTCAAGGGAGGTAAAGTGTTATTGGGCTAGACCCGACATACTCGTGTACATATTTCGTTAATTGCCACAACTACACCTACACGTGTATTTCAAGTTCATATGCAAATGTTCTTAAATAAAACAAATAACTAACTTTTCGTTGACTGTAATAACTACCATTGTATCTGAATATACTTGCATTTAAAATGGAAATAAACATACATTCAAAAACAAGCATTAAACACGATTTGAAAATAAATCTAAACCAATCACATTACAACATCTCATCACGAACGTGCTGCTTCTCACTCTAAGAGAACGTTTTAATAATGGCGATTGTAACGTGGTTTATTGTACGGAAGCGCACTTACAAATCTTCACCAGTAGATACATATATATATACTACTACCCTAACCCTATAAGCACCGTTATCATTTAATTTTGTGGAAGTAGCACAAGCGAATCCAAGCTTCAAACAAATGTATTTATATATGTAAATTGCAAAAAAAGGTGAAAGCAAAGCGCCATGTAAAGCTAACGATCACATAATTCCTGTTGTACATATATGTACGTGTAGCTATGTCTGGTGTAACGTATAATTCACTACATTGATGCGACCTTTCATACGTGTGACGTCAATAGAAACAATTCCCATGACGTCACAGCCTTTTCCAATTGGATGGATTGCTTTTCATTAACGTCACATTGTATGTAATAAGGTCTGTCGATGTATACTCAAATTGTGAGTCGATGGCCTACAGACATGTTGATATTGCAGTATGTCAGGAAAAAATACTGTTTAAATAAATAAATTTAAGTAAATTCATCTGTGAATTCATACATGCACGTTTTTTTCACAAAAACTTATTCTGTTTTCTACTTGCGTTTAAACTGCAACGACGAGCACTCTCGGTGTTAAGTAATATATCTCAAACCCAGCACAATTGCACCTGATGGTATGAAACGAGTATGGGGAATCATAGATTTCATAGATTAAAATTATGAAAAAATAATCTTGAAAATTAGACCAATTTGGCTCATAAAACGATCAACCTGTCAAAACTAGCCTCTACGTGGTATATACCATCAAATGGGAAATCATAAGGGTCGAAATATGACGCGAGTAAGGTATACTTTTATGGTGCTAATGTAAAGGACATTTAATCGTGAGACGAATGTCAGTTGTCGTATGGTATATATGTATTGCTTCATGTTTTAAACATGCTCGCAACCTAAACAGTGGCGTACTCTGAACTTCTACCTTTGAAATTACTAGCTTTTATAAGAAGTACTCATTCACCCAACTTATCTAACGCATACATGTTATCATAAATACTCATTTTAGATGTAGACGTTTGCTCGAAAGTCATTGGTCGTCGTTCTGACGGATAGACCAATGGTTGTGGCTCTGGTACATCGTCGTCACGTGATGACCCTGACGGACGCCACGATTGGTTACTTTGATTTTGTGAGTGCCCTATCATCGGCGCTGTTTCTGCCGTATTGTCATAGTCTTCATCATATCCGCCAGCCACTTTGTGCACCTGACCATGTTGTACATGCGACACACTGACGGGTATGGCCGATTTTTGCGTCAGTGTGCTGTAAGGGGTAGGCTGGTGTGGCTGTAGCGGATATCCGTACCCTGGACTGTGTCCACGTGAGCTAACAGACGACATGGTTCCGCTTCTGCTGGCCTGATACCCCCCGGGTGATAACTGTCCACTACCGCCATATTGAGAGTAACCGATGTTTACATGAGAACTTGGGTTGTTTTGTGGATGGTTCCCGGTCACGTGTCCACCACTTCCGCTATAACTTCCAGACATATTGCTAATTCCACCTTGCGATTGAGTAGTTCCGGTTGCCACCTGTCTACTCCCACTATGAGAGGTGCTACCTCCGGTCACATACCCTCCTCCGCCATGGGTCGAACCATAACCCCTGAACCCCTCACCTGACGTCTGGCCTTGTTGTCCAGACGACTGGGTAGACTGACCACCCGATGACGTATACGTCGCCGACTGGGGGTGTGACCTGTTAGCCTGGACGTACGACACTTGCACCTGCTGTGGCCCATGGTGCTGTATGGGAACGGACACTTCAGGAGATATGGACACTTGTTTCTTCGCTAGCGACCCTCCACCGCCTGTATAACGTCCGTTCCTCATACCACTGTCCGGCCCAATGGGAGGCTTCTTGTCCATTACTGTGAAGGTGGGCGATAATTCAGAGTCCTTGGAGGAAAACATGTGGATTTCATCCTACAACACAATATATAAAGAAGGCTACAGTACAGGGCAAAACATAATTTTCACTTGTAATTGTATATACATATATAAATTGACGTGCATGGGAATACAAACAATATAACTAGACTTATACAGCCAGACTTTCTAGAATATTCTGTTTAGCCCGACAGTGATTTATTTCAGTATTAAATATATCTTCATTTTTGTAATATCGATAATTCGAAAATATTTTCTCATATTATGATTATAAAAGATCTAAACCAAGACCACGAGATTGTCGGAAAAATTCTTTTGTATATTTTGCCAAAAATATAGTTTTTTAGTATGTTTTCGAATAAATGTTTAATTACCGTGGTCTGTGTCTCCTGGTCCTTGAGTTTGAATATGCAGTAGGCGTGAAGGCACAGGCAAATACACACACATAGACACAGCACTCCTACCACGAACATCACCGCTCCCCAGGGAGTCAGGAACCTGGAAAGAGAGTAGGGAACATAACATGTAAAATACAAACGAGCTATGACAAGTTGTATCGTTAGCACTGCAACAAACAGCTGGAAAACATGGAACAGTGAACACAAGATGGAACAGAGAACAAAACACGGAACAGTGAACACAAGAAGGAACAGAGAGCAAAACACGGAACAGTGCACACAAGATGGAACAGAGAACAAAACACGGAACAGTGGACACAAGATGGAACAGAGAACAAAACACGGAATAGTGAACACAAGATGGAACAGAGAACAAAACACGGAACAGTGCACACAAGATGGAACAGAGAACAAAACACGGAACAGTACACACAAGATGGAACAGACAACACGGAACAGTGCACACAAGATGGAACAGAGAACAAAACACGGAACAGTGCACACAAGATGGAACAGAGAACAAAACATGGAACAGTGCACACAAGATGGAACAGAAAACAAAACACGGAACAGTACACACAAGATGGAAAAGACAACACGGAACAGTGCACACAAGATAGAACAGAGAACAAAACACGGAACAGTGCCCACAAGAGGGAACAGAGAACAAAACACGGAACAGTTAACACAAGATGGAACAGAGAACAAAACATGGAACAGTGCACACAAGATGGAACAGAAAACAAAACACGGAACAGTACACACAAGATGGAAAAGACAACACGGAACAGTGCACACAAGATAGAACAGAGAACAAAACACGGAACAGTGCCCACAAGAGGGAACAGAGAACAAAACACGGAACAGTGCACACAAGATGGAACAGTAAATTCAAAACGGAACAGTAAACAATAGAGAACAGTGAATACAACACAGAACAATAAACAAAATACGGAACAGTGAAAACAACACGGAACTATGAATACAACACGGAGCAATAAATACAACAAGGAAGAGTGAATACAATACGAAAGTGAATTCAACACGGAACAACAAACACACCCCGAAACTGAATATAACAAGGAACAGTGAATATAACAAGGAACAGTGAATATAACAAGGAACAGTGAATATAACAAGGAACAGTGAATATAACAAGGAACAGTGAATATAACAAGGAACAGTGAATATAACAAGGAACAGTGAATATAACAAGGAACAGTGAATATAACAAGGAACAGTGAATATAACAAGGAACAGTGAATATAACAAGGAACAGTGAATATAACAAGGAACAGTGAATATAACAAGGAACAGTGAATATAACAAGGAACAGTGAATATAACAAGGAACAGTGAATATAACAAGGAACAGTGAATATAACAAGGAACAGTGAATATAACAAGGAACAGTGAATATAACAAGGAACGATGAACACAAAATAGAACAGTGAACACAACACGGAATAATGAACAGAACAGGAAACGGTGAACAACAGAGTACTGAATACAACACGGAACAGTCAATATAACACCGAACAGTCAATATAACACGAAACAGTGAATATAACACAGAACAGTCAATATAACACGAAACAGTAAATATAACACAGAACAGTGAATATAACACAGAACAGTCAATTTAACACGGAACAGTCAATATAACACAGAACAGTCAATATAACACGAAACAGTCAATATAACACGGAACAATGAAGACAACACGGAACAGGAAACACAACACGGAACAATTAACACATCACGGAACTGTGAACAACAGAGAACTGAACACACCACGGACAGTGAACAGAACACAGAACAGTGAACACAACACGGAACAGTGTACACAACACGGAACAGTTAACACAACACGGAACAGTGAACGCAACACGGACCAATGAACAGAACTCAAATCAGTGAACAAGTGAGAACTGAATACAACACAGAACTTGCTATACATGAAGTACTCAATACTACACATGTAGGCCAAACACAAAACTGTTTCCGCGTTGGGATTAGGAATGAGCTGTATGTCGTGTTGGCGTGCGTTTGCAGACCCCATGCGATGACAATAGCAATTTCTAAACATTATCGCTACATCGTGATATATCGTTAGGGAGCAAATGAAGTTTCTCGTCAAATCAAGGGAGATGTGCATGTCAATCTCACTAACGAGCTAAGGCATGGTCAGTAGTAGTGACAGGTATCTTTATACCATATCTTAAAACCAAGGCACGAAGACGATTCCAAGGAAATGGAATATAAACAATTCAAAGTAACCCCTAATTGACATTGACAGGTTCATATATTACATCCGATACAAGGAGATACCGGTCCAGTCTGTCTGAGCTAAACATGTAAACTGATAAAATAATGTGAAACGTTATAACATATTGGCTTAGAAAGAGTCTTATAATGTGGAACATTTTAATGACATTGTCCATCGAAACGTGGACGTTTTCACTACAAATCCTTCAACACCCCTCGAATACATGTTGGTGACATTGAAGTACAAGTTGTAGTAAATAGTGTTAAAATGGCGTGTTAGGATGTAGACTTACGTATACATATACTGATAACAACCCAATGGAAGCAATGGGAAACACATATACAGTTGTCATGATAATAAATAACGGCTCATAGGAGACTATTTTAACGTGAAATTGCGTGACTGTTTTTGGTGAATGACAAGTGTTATCGTTTAAGCAAAATCGAGTTTTATTCAATATTTTAAAGTCCTACAATAGACTAGCAGGGTCTCGTGTCGATTCCCTGTAAGTCAAAAGAAAAATGCTTGTTCTGCATATTGTAGAGACCTTGAAAAATAAAGCCGGGATTTGGACATGCAACAATCTCATGCCGAAGCAAAACTATGTTCGAAAACAGTGATTATTAGCATTTGCAATTTTTGTTTGTTTGTTTTAAGCCTCCTATACACATTATCTTTCCCATCGAAAACTTATTGTGACGTCATATTTTATTGTTCCCGTGATGTCATCGTTTCTTTCTACGTACTGACAAAATACTCTTACACAGGTAAAATGGGAAACGGGGCGGGGCACGTATCAATCCCCACCCTACGGTCTGTAGATATGTCCTATGATATGTATGTAGCATGGCCCTTTGTCTAGATTGCTAGTAGATTGTAGTTTTGACTCGCCCTCTTCAGATAGAAGCGCTTGTCTGTACTATACTATTTATACACTAATATGATATGACTAGGACCCCCTAGTACTACATGTACTGTGAAATACCTGGAAATCAGATTATGTTGAAGTGCACGAGGATGGGTTATTTTGCGCCATTCCTAATAAGTTCGTGGTTATACAAAATGGCTTTATATTGACAAATAATTGGCTGAAGATTATTAACTGAATGTTAACTACGTCGTCTTTAAGACTTTACCCCTCGCTTCTTAGTGCTAAACACACGTGCACCTCGTAACAATGAAATCACTGAAACATCTCTGGCGCAACTGAGATATTTGGCGGGAGGAATCCGACTCCCTCAACCCTCATCTAGACAGGGACCTCGCGATAGCTCAGGGAACAGACTACTATCTGGATTTTGTCACATCTCCAAAGTCTGCATCTCTGGTTGACAACTTTATCTCGCCCACACAAACACTCATATGGCACACAGTAAATCGTGGACCATCTCACCGATCATTCTGCTACATATATCTCCCTACATACACAAAGGTTATCGGGAGAACCACGCGATCCTGACAATTAAGACACAGTTATATTTTTAGGAAGTATAAATAGACGTTTCCATGGCTTACATCATCGCCGACAAACCATTCCGGCTGATTGTTTATGTTTCGAACAATATCATCATTCATAAGTGATTCATGTGGTCGTGTACACAACCTACACAAATACCAAACGATGTATGTGTTTTGACATAGAAAAGCAGCGCGGAGATTTCAAATAAGTATTTTTTTCTCTCTTTAGCTGCCATGTCTCATTAAAGGAAATTCACCATATTGGTATGTTGGAGCCTTTGTCAGGATTTATATATGTCACGAATAAGGATCGATAATAGTCATTAGGTGAAAAAGTAGAATCACGTGAGAGTTCATGTACGTGTACAAAACGTGTGCGTATGAGATCTCTCCACATGGACTTAGCTTGCATCGTTCTGAACAAAAGTATCTACCCTAACCAGATACACCTGATGTGGCACACTATATGATCGTATGTGGCGATTAATACGGGACCTCTGCAGAATCAAATTTCAATCACTGAGTACTAGGGCCTCAAACGTTCTCCTTTATCTGCTCTTTATTTTCAGTAATATTTTCCAAAATAAACCTAAGTTACTAAGTTGTCGGCCATGTGTCCAGTGTGGGGACACGGTTGCATTAAAGTTGGTGTAGCAATTATATGTTTTTATCTCAAATCAACAAGCACATTCTCCAGACACCGACAGCTAAAACAGACACCAGCTCGAAAGCCCGTATTCATGACAATATTTTCATGCTTAAGCATGGATTTTGTGCTCAAACCAACTTTCTTGCAACTCGCGTAAATCATGAGACACGACCAAAAGTGTAAATATTGAAAACGGTAGTAGGGCTCTCTAAAACGGACTTTATTAATTTATCACCGACACAAGAAATTTGGCTAGAGTTAGGATCTGAGTTTGAGCATGGAACAGTTTCCTGAATGCGGGCCTACAGGTCACGGTTGTGTTTTACTTGTTGCCATCATTTAAGAGTTTCATGTAAGAATTATCCCTCTTCTATTTAAGTGCCGAGAGGTGGAGTCGTATTCAAGGACGTCCACGTGGTCACACCAATTATTTCTGATGTTTATTTCAGCGAGATTTCAGGTTATCAGCGGGAAGGAGAACAGCACCTTGTTTTATCTGACGAGGTGATGTTCCCTGTTACTTTTGAAAAAGAACAGGCTAATAAAAACAACATGTATTAATGGCCAATACAACACCTATAGCATTTTATATCACAGACATGGCAATGGAAGGCATTTAAAAAAATACGCCTTGCAATAGAGACAAGAAAACTGTAAAATCGTCACGCTCAAACGCACTTTCATCAACCTATCGTTATTTTTCTAAACTCGTCTTATTGCCTAAA